AGAGAAAATGAAATAGGGGAAAATTGGGGATTATATTTGTAATAGCTTAAGGTACTTAAGCCTTGGTTTCCTTAACCTCAGTTTCCATATCACCAAGTCTTCCGATTATAACACTTTAATTTTAATTTTTTTTTTCTTATTAAGGAATTATATTTTAAATGTTTTAGTCTTATTCGATTACTTATGTGTATGCACTTTCATTATTTTTTATTTTGTTCTACATGCAACTTCAAATAATAGTAATATAATTTAATATTTTTGTTTTCATTTATGTCAAGAATAAATTTCCATTACCAAAAAGTTATGGACCAAATGCAAAAGCATAGCAATTTACTTTAAGTATTCATGTTTTGTACCATTATATTTTTTTTATGAAAACATACATGCTATATATGCTTATGTTTTTCTACATTGGCATACATCTGTTTTGATAAGTAATGGTGTCGAATTCATGGGAACGGTTATGATTTTATTAAGATATAAAAGAAATTAATTATCTTAAAAACAATTAAGTAAATGGGCTTTTGTTAGAATATTTATGTATTTCGATTTGATTTGTAGAAATCTATCTTTTAATGAATGTTTAGGTTTTTTATCTAGTGCAAATGTTTGGTATTGAATTTCATTGAATTTAGAAATAAATGAATCTTGAGGGAATTTGGTTCCTACTCGTTTGCGACCTTACAAATAAATGAATCTTGGCGATTTGTATTCCTTTTCACGTAATTGACAACTATACTCAAATCAAAACATACAATGTGCAGAAATTGGCTCTTAATTTCATCAGAACATCACGATTTTAAGAAATCAACAAACGATTTCATATCAACGATTTCATTACCGATTTTCGAGAAATTACCAGTTTTATCAGATTTGGAGCATTGATTTCAGCAAAAATAAAAAGAAATCAGGAAAAACTGAAGAACGGACTAGATACCTAAAGATGAGTCGGAGTTCTATTGTGTGATGGTGGTGTCGGAGGCGTGGGAGGGATGGGACGACCGGAGATGTAGGAGGCGACGGGTGGAGCTGCGAATTTGGAAAGGAAGGAAGTGGAGGAGCGTCAACTGTTAGGCGAGAGAGAAGACGAACACGTTTAGGTTAATGAAAGCGACTTGTGATCATTTGTTTGCTTCCGAATTAATTAGGATTTGATATGTTTATTTGGGGAGTTAATTACCAGATGCTTTTCAGTTAAAAAAAATAGAATTATCAGATCCCTTAAATGCCCTTATCTTATTTTATTAAGATACTCTTTTTTTTCTATTTATCTACAAAACTGTCATAAAAAATCTTAGCCCTTAACAGTTCACTTTTAGTTCTCAGATTCTTAAGAAAATATAAGTTCTCAAATGATAATTGATATATATATATATATATATATATATATATATATATATATATATATATATATATATATATATATATATATATTTTCTTAAGAATCTGAGAACTAAAAGTGAACCGTTAAGGGCTAAGATTTTTTATGACAGTTTTGTAGATAAATAGAAAAAAAAAGAGTATCTTAATAAAATAAAATAATATATATATACTAGTTTATAACCCGTGGGAACCACAGTTATAAAATTAATCAAACTTTTATAGTAAAAATTCAAAATTATTAATAAGTTATTTGAAATAAATTATTAATTTAAGAGATAGTTTTATTAGTTATGTGAAATTATAATCATTGATTCAAATAAATATATAAAATTAATTTTTAATATATATTAGATATTTTTTACTTATGAATTGATGAAAACAATAATTTAAAATTTAAAATTTAAAATAGGATCACATTAATGATGAGGTCTAATAAATTTAAAATGGAAAACTAGTAGATTGACAAATGGCAACACATTAATTAAAATATCTAATATGATGACACATGGCAAAAGAGCTACTCTTATATATATATATATATATATATATATATATATATATATATATATATATATATATATATATATATATATATGGTTGAGTTCATGTGAGACGCCCTAATTTTGTGAGACCGTGAGACGCATTTTTTTTAATTTTTTTTAGTTAATTCAAGTTCCAAAAATAATATTTAAAAAAAGACTTTTTGGAATTTTCTATTTATTTTTCATTTTAAAATTATTTTTTAAAATATAGCAGTGTAATATTCTATTAGAATATTTCACGTATTTTTCAAAAAAAATGGAATTTATTTTTATTTGTTTTTAATTTTTTAAAAATTTTTTTAGTTAATTCAAGTTCCGAAAATAATATTTAAAAAAAAGAATTTTTAGATTTTTCCATTTATTCTGCATTTTAAAATTATTTTTTAGAATATGTCAGTGTAATATTCTATTAGAATATATTTCACTTATTTTTCAAAAAAAAAACGGAATTTTTATTTATTTATTTTAATTTATTTTTATTGTTTTTATTTAATTCAAGTTCCGAAAATAATATTTAATAAAAGATTTTTTGGATTTTTCCATTTATTTTGCCTTTAAAAATTATTTTTAGATTTGGTCTCACGGTCTCACAAACTTAGAATGGTCTCAAATGAACCTGATATATAGGGTTAGGTTCATGTGAGACAGCCTAATTTTGTGAGACCGTGAGACACATTTTTTGATTTTATTTATTTATTTTTTATTTTTTTAGTTAATTCAAGTTCCGAAAATAACATTTAAAAAAAGAATTTTTAGATTTTTCTATTTATTTTGCATTTTAAAATTAGTTTTTAGAATATGTCAGTGTAATATTCTATTAGAATATTTCACGTATTTTTCAAAAAAAATGGAATTTATTTTTATTTTTTTTATTTTTTTTTAAGTTCCAAAAATAATATTTAAAAAAAGAATTTTTAGATTTTTCCATTTATTCTGCATTTTAAAATTATTTTTTAGAATATGCCAGTGTAATATTCTATTAGAATATTTCACTTGATTAAAAAAAAACAGATTTTTTTTTTTTTTTTTTAGTTAATTCAAGTTCCGAAAATAATATTTAAAAAAACAATTTTTTGATTTTGCCATTTATTTTGCATTTTAAAATTATTTTTAGATTTGGTCTCACGGTCTCAGAAAATTAGAATGGTCTCAAATAAACCTGACCTATCTAAAAATAATTTTAAAATGCAAACTAAATGGAAAATCCAAAAATTCTTTTTATTTTTAAATATTATTTTCGGAACTTGAATTAACTAAATTTTTTTTTTTTTTAAAATCCGTTTTATTTTTTTTGAAAAATAAGTGAAATATTCTAATTAAAATATTACACTGATATATTCTAAAAAATAATTTTAAAATGCAGAATAAATGGAAAAATCTAAAAATTCTTTTTTTAAGTATTATATTCGGAACTTGAATTAACTAATAAAAATAAAAATAAAAATAAAAATAAATTCCATTTTTTTAAAAATACGTGAAATATTCTAATAGAATGTTATACTGATATATTCTAAAAAATAATTTTAAAATGTAAAATAAATGGAAAAATCCAAAAATTCATTTTTTTAAATATTATTTTCGGAACTTGAATTAAATAAAAAAAAATAAAAAATACGTCTCACGGTCTCACAAAATTAAACCGTCTCACATGAAACTAACGCTATATATATATATATATATATATATATATATATATATATATATATATATATATATATATATATATATATATATATATATATTGAGAATAAGAATCAAATTTATCAACGAATTAGTTATCGCCATATAAAAAGTCTTTTGTAAATTAAATTTTAAGGAACTTTATGATTTGAAAAGTTAAATTAAAAGGGGATCATTTAGCAATTTTCATATAAATACCCATCACACTATTGCGGATTCAGCTGACTGTACACACGGGAAAATCGAAAAAGGTATTCGATATTCTCTCCGTCGAGATCGGCAGAGGCGGATGCTTTAAGGGGCCGGGAGGGGCCATGGCCCCCCTGCTTTTTGGCTTCGTAATACTTGTTTAACAATTTCATACATATTTTATCTTTTAGTAGCTATCTTGGCCCCTCACGTTAATTATATATAATCCAAAATAACATTCAAATAACTACTCAACTCCGAAAAAATCAGAAACATCAATCAAATATGATCAAAATCAGGAAAATACATATGAACAAATCAAAACAATCCTAAAAATTAAGATATCAATTGATTAGGAAACTAAATATCTTATATGAAAGCAAAAGAGTATTCTATAATCCAAGTTGTTAACCCAATCTATGAAAAAAATACAAAAACCCACTCTAAAAATTCACCACTTCTGGAAAAAGCGTAAGTACCGGAAAGAAAACGTCGGCCGCCGGAATGCTCAGCTACGAACGGATTTCTCACCAAAAACAGAAAATATTCCCCCCATTAGGTGTTCACCATCCATCTCCTTTAGTTCTCTTCACTAGTATTCCGTCTCTCCACTCTAAAGCTCGCTGAAGTGCAGTCTTCATTTCTTATCAACAAGGTAGCAACCTCGGTCATCGGATCTCTGGATGTGTAAGTTTTCTTTTTCTCTTTCTTTTAGTAGAATACTTAATGTAAATGATTTTGGAGGATATAAAAGATCACGCCCACCTACTCATCTACAACAATAGTGAAACTATTAAAAAGCTGCAAGCCTACTTTAATATTAATCTTATTTTATTTTATGAAATATCAAATTTTCTTTAAAAATGAATTGGAATTTAGACTAATCATTTACCGTGGTTTATCCTATATTATTCCAACATGTCGATTTTATAACACATGAAGGGAAAAATACATTCTCAAAATTTCTATAAAATAGTAATTTGGGGATTATGTGGGTTCTGTTACTTTCCATTTACATTCCATATTATAGTTAGATGATCATATTTTCAAATAATGTGTATAATGTGGTTTGTTTTTTTTACCAACGATATTAGAACACTTTAGTGTATTCATTATTTTTTTTTTTTTTTTTTTTTTTTTTTTTTTTTTTTTTTGTATTATAGCTCTTAACCAAAAATTAACTACTTCATATTATTATCGTATGAAGTTTTCATTTTGGCCCCTCTGGTTCTAAGGTTCGTGTTCGGCCCCTGGAGATCGGTGCCATTTATTCCTCATTTTTCCCACAAAATGCCTACAGGAAAGCTTGAAGTCCTCCTTGTCAGCGCTAAAGGACTCAATGACACCGATTTCTTCAGTAAGTTTTTTCTTGTTTATCCCGATCGTAACCTCCTATTGTTAGATTTGATCATGTAAAAAAAAAATGAAGATGAGCTACATGATAGTGTTTGGTTGTATACTAAAAATTATAAATCATTGCTTTTATGAGGAATAATTAATGAAATAGAAATATGAATCGGAGGTTGACTTGATGATGAATAAGTATAACTGAAAATGTTTCAAATAATTAGAAAAATATATGTATCTTATGAGGAAATTTGGAGCCGATAGTAAAGCGAAAATGAGGATCAGAGCTTGATGGTGATCAAGTAGAACCCAGTGTATTTTTATCGAAATTCGTACGAGAAAACAATAGCGATAAACTATGCTCTCCGATCCGATGATTATTATCCAATCTTTACTGAAAATTTATCGATTACATTTGATCAACGATCAGATTATAGAATAAGAAATCATAAATCATAAGAGGAGTCATGTGTATGGGAGAAAATTCCCGTTGACCGGATGATAGTTCATTACTAGTGATCGCTCTGATCTAACATTCTAATCAATAGCATTCAGATATATCAGAACTGATCTTTCTAGTATTATTGCTTCACAACTTTCGGATCTGACAACAATCTGAAGCAATCGTCATCATTTTCGTCACAAGCTTAATTTCTGATATCATCTTCTAGATTTTGAGATTTGATTCACCTTCTCATAATCGCATCCACCGTATAAATAACTATTCATATTCATATCGTTCTTACGCTAGTGTTCTTCGTTTCAATTGTCCAATGAATCTCAACAGCAAAAATGGATCCTTATGCGATAATCACATGCAGAACTCAGGAACAAAAGAGCAACGTCGCAGCAGGTTTTACTTACTACATCTCAAAAATTCTTTCAACAATCTTCCATTTTTATGATTATAGGACTTATAGTCTAATATTCTTCCTCAATGGATACTTAATCAAACAGGACAAGGATCTTCACCTGAATGGAATGAGACATTTGTATTTTCTGTTTCTGGTGAAGTGGAAGAACTTGTGATCAAGATAATGGACAGTGATGTTATTTCTGAAGATGATTTTGTGGGGGAGGCCAAGTACATATAATTTCTTTAAAATTTAGCAAATTACAAATATAGTTAATTAGCATTAGCAAATTAACACTTGTGATTTGTTCTTGTTATGAATGCAGAATTCCACGTGAGACATTGTTTGTGGAAGGAAGCATCCCACCAACACCATACAACGTGGTCGTTAATGATGAATTCTGTGGGGAGATTAAACTTGGCCTCCAATTCATTCCAGAGGTTCGTCATATATATATATATATAATATAATATATATATATATATATATATATATATATATATATATATATATATATCGATTTAAGCTTAAAATTTGTTTAATTATTATAATTTATAATAACAGTTTAATAACTCTCACTAACAATATTCCAATCCCTTTATGTTGTTAAAGGATACAAATGAATACCATGGGGAAGAGGAAAACTTTGGAGGATGGAAAGAATCTTCGTATTAAAACTATGGATCATAGTTTTATATGTATTAATCGGTATCAGTTGTTTTCAGTTTATTTTTTATTTTCTTTAACCTTTTTGTGGAAAAAAAAGAAGAACTTTGATGACTTTCGTCATTGTTTTAGTTGGAGCTTTGCTTGTGCTTGATTATTTTCTTTTCATTTTATTGGAGACTATTTGACTTTAAGTTGAACGAAAATTGTGTTCGTGATTTGTACTACATTAAGTTTATTTTTTCTTTTTTACTAAAATGCAAAATTGGTCATTATGGTATTAAAAAACTTTGAATAGAATCTAAAATGTTTACAATTTGCATGGAAGATCCATACTCAAGAATTTTCTTTGGTTTTGGTTCTTAAACAACTTGAAAAGACCGTTTTACCCTTTTCATATCTTTTTTACATTTTTTAAAAATCTATATTATTACATTTTCAATTTAAAAAGGAACACATACACCATAAAATCTAAGTGACAAAGGGTTCTATTCAATTCATAAAAATGATAATGAGGAAACGCTTTCACTAAGTAAAATTTTAGAAGATAACAATTGTGTTAATTACATACTCAAATTCGATTATGATTACGACATCCCTCTTCATAATTTGAATTGTGAGAAATGGCAAATAGTTTGAACATTCGGAACTTATTTCTGTAAGTTATAAAATAGTTTAGACACACATATGTGCTTTCTTATAAAAGGTGTTTGAGTTTAGATAAAGGATTATCGAAGCATCTTGGTATCAGAAATCTGAACTTTGGTAAGAAGTCAATAAGTATTGATTTCTAGAAGTCCAGCTGATTTTTGGATACATGTTAAAGCTAGTGGGAGCATAAAAGTTATTCTAGTAACAAAATAATTTGTGTGGTGGTGGGAGCATGATTATTATGTGAAGTATTGCAAATTAACAATGCTATTTATAGGAAACAAAGTTTATTTTGCAAAGTTGCAAAGTTTGAAAAGTTATTTCGCTATAATAACAGAGAGGATACTTATACATCATTTCTAATTTAAAAGCTTAGATTGAAATTTTAATTTAATCATGGACATATGTGAATGTTGAAATGATTCAACATAAGTAAATTCTATATATGAAAATATTATAGCAAAAGACTGGTCATATATCATGTCTTTATGTAAGACATTATGAATCGTGTCCCATATGCTTTGGATATAGGATCGATTGTATATGCTTTAATATTCACATGTTTTAATTTTCCAAATGCCTAGGTCTTTAAGAGGGAAAAAGGAATAGAACCAGATATGATTAAATTATTAAACAACCGCCAAGGACAATCTGAAGTTTACCAAGGATTCCTTACTTGTGGATAGTTTGAAGTATGGTAATGAATGGACCATATTGATATAATTCTGAATAGATAAGATTTTATTAAGAATGGATAGTCATATGGAAAAGTTTCCATAAAGGGAGTTGGATATCAAGAATCTATAACTAAGTTAAAAACTTTTATGCAAGAAGGATGTTCAAAGGAATGTATTTTGAATTTGATACTTCGTATCTATGGAAAAATCCTGTAACAATATCCAATGGAAAGTTTTGTAATTGTTAAAGTCTCTGTGACTTGTGTACATAGTCGTTACAATAGGATCACTACATATAAGTTTAGAATCTAACACATTCTAATAGTGGCAAGAATTGGGCATTCTTACACTTGTGATAAAGATCTGGAAGTGTGAAATGAGTTTCATTGAAAAATGTGTTCAATTGATCTATTTCACAAATAAATGACCATAGGAAAACATAGTGTGCATGCTTGGAACATGGGATAACTATTGTTTTAATTCAAGTATTAATTTGATTAATCGAAACATTATATAATGAATAATGTGTAATCAATATGGTGATTAAATAAAAGATGTTTTATTTATATTCAAAAGTTTTGAGACCATATTGGATTCGATTATTCTTGTGTTTCACTTTGCATGTTTTGAAATCCCGAATAATAAGATTATTCAAACCATCCATAGTCGATCATACCTTGGAAGTAGGTATTGAGGCAAGATTGTCATGAATCCGTCTGTAGATTGTCTAAGTGTTAGACATAGCACAAGTTTGCAGCAGTATTCATGCGTACTCATGTAATAAGATTTGAGTATTGGATTGAACCCACGCTCATCTGAATCACTTCATGGATTCTATCACGAGTGATTGTGAGACGATAATATCTTATATTCTTGAAACGGAGAGATATGAGTTGCAGTTTACAAGTCGGTTGCACATTGATGATATATAAAAGCACCGGTAACTTGGTGTTATAAAATATATTATTGTGTGTGATTTTAAGAGTAAATAGAGCAAGCATATGACTCAATGTTTATCCGTTCCTTTTACCCTAAGAGGGATAAAAGCTATATATATGGGTCCCTCGATGATTTAGTGATGACAACCCTAAGTGCTTGGCCAAGCCTAAACTGATTTGATTTGTTCAATTAGTCGATCGTCATAAATCGGAAATTGGGAAACAAAACAAGAACAGAGAGAATGATTATAATCCATGGATGTGTTGCTGATAAGATCAGAGTTCAACAACGGCTTTTTGAGAGCTACGATTGCTAGTCGGGTTTTG